CTGGGTGAGGTGGGTCAACGGGGTCTACCTCAATGGTAGGAGTGTGTGGGATTTTATCCCACACAATCGTGACTCATTGTTCATGAAGAAATTGAGTCACATCCGGGATCAAATTTTTGGATGCTTTAACAATTTGAATGATACCATTATGGGCCTAAATAGTAGATCCAAAAATGGTAAACTCCTTTCCGGAAAGATTTATGAATTGTTGAGAATTAAAGGGACGCCGAGAGTGTGGATGAGCTTCATTTGGAAGTCTTATATCCCTTCGAAGTTTTCATTCAATGTCTGGCTTGCTATGAGGAACCGGTTACCTACACAGGATAACCTCGATTACCTACATATTGTTAATCGTTGTGACCTATGCAAGGGTGGATTGGAAACATTGCCACACCTATTTTTTCGTTGTCATTACACTTGTAGGGTCTGGGAAAAAATTAAGGAATGGTTGGGCATGACTCGAGAGATGACCACGCTCTGCAGCTCCATCAAATGGATCTTGAAGGATCATAAAGGATCAAAGATCAAAGGGAAGGCTGTCCGGATTGCGTTTGGTGCCGCGGTTTACTACCTTTGGCACGCTAGGAACGCCAACAGATTTGATGAAGGGGACGTCAAGGAAGAAGAAGTCATTGCAAAAATCAAGCATGTGGTGTATAAAATACTTTTCAAATTTATACCCGCATGATTTGATTAATTTCTGAGTAGAAGACCGCGACCTGGATATAATGGATGTCGCGGTTTTGGATAGACCGCTACATGTTAGTTTGGTGCGCCGAGGCATGGATATTATGGGTGCCGCGGCTTGGGCGCTTGGTACACCGTGGCATGGACATCATGGATGTCGAGACATTAAGGATGGTCTTGGACTTTAGGGTGTTTGATTTTCCAACACCTTTTGTACTTTATTTAGAACTTAGCCTCTGATCTGTGTGCGTGCATGAGCAGCATCAATGTATTTTTTGAACCTCTTGATGAGCCAAGTATTATACTTGGTTATTTTGGCATAGCTTAGATCAAATAAAAACCTCCTTTCATCCTCACTTTATGTGAGGGTGGGAGAGGTTTTAGGAGATCTAGGATATGTGATGTATAGTTTTTCTGCGTGTTAATATATATTTACATTTCATCCAAAAAAACGGATAAGATTGGGGTGAATATATATGCAATGAAGGTGAGGGACATGGTGCATCGGTGCACGTTAGATTTGAATTGGGTGAAGTAGATGCGGCGGCAATCAAGGCGCAGGAAGCGGAAATCGTGTTAGCCATTCTTTCTACTCTCGCTCCGAGAAAAGCAACAAAAGAGGCCGCGGCATGAAAAAGGAAAAGAAAAAGACGCCCAAGTTATGAGTACTATTGTTTCTTGCCAAACAAAAGAAAAGAAAATTGGTCGTAGATCGTTTTCCGTATATAATAAAAACAAAGAGGAATATATTTTCGAGTTGGGCCCCAACAAGAATATGATAACGGTCCTCTCACCATTCCACTTTGTCAATCAGCCGGTGAGCTAAATGCACCATAAAAGCTAGGGTGTCTTAATTTTCTTCCATTTGATTTGGAATTAGTTAGAAAGAATTATTATCAAACAAAAGTCAAAAATTCCCTAGAGTTCTAGGGTTGGGAAGGAGCCGTCGCAGGCGGCGTTTTTCCTGTTTATTCCGAGATTCATTCTCGACTATGTGCTGGGGTTTCATTTTTGTAGTCGGTGTGCCAGAAGCGTGCGACAGTAGGTTTTAGTTTCTCTCGAGACTGTAGGTTTAGTTTCTCTCCAGACTGAATTGCTCCGTTGATTGTTTCTTCACCAAGGTTTGCTCCGTTTAATCCAACCGTTGAGATGGTGTGAAACTCCCGCGTCGCAGTTATGATCGACCGCAGCAAGACATCGGCTTGAGTTTGTGATAACACGGTGCTCAGGGGTGATGAGGGCTATTTGATTCTGGACAAGGAGGGTGTGGGCGAGGAAGCGGTTCCGAGCAGGAGCTTACGGGCAAAAGAAGACGAAGAGGTGATAATTCGTCCTCCTCCCGAGCCGCCGCCATGGAGGAAGTGTGCGAATAGGGTTTGGACGACTTTTTCTATTTCTGTTTTACTTTGTTTGTGTTTTTTCTTCGAATTACATGTTGTTTTGTGCGTCGCATACGCTTATTTTGTCAAACTCTTACATTAGGTGGGGGTGATGAGGGTTTTGCTCTGGCCAGGTTAGGCTCATATAGACCCATTATAGGATCAACGAATCATATTGCTCTGTTTAGGGTGATTCGTTCTCAGGCTGGTTCGAGGGTTGTTGGCTGGAAATGTTCCCTTTATCTCTTTTCTCCCTTGCTGAATGTTTTATTATCAATATAAGCCGTCCTTTTCCAAAAATCAAACAAAAGTCATACTCCCTCCGTATCGAATTAATTGATCCGCTTTCCCTTTTGGGACGTATCAAAATAAATGTCTCATTTCCCTTTTTAAAAATAAACCCACCCAAAAAGCAGCTACAGTATCGTTACAGTACTGCTACAGTACCGCTACAGTACCAAAAACCTCCTACTTTACATATATTTGCCTTAAACTACGTGAAAAAGCATACGGGTCAATTAATTTGATACGGAGGGAGTATTATTTTTCATTTTGGTTCGGTTTAGTTCAATTTGTTATTTTGTAATACTGCGTAATATATAAAGGTTTTATTGAATTTTTTTAGTTCGGTTCGATTTTTACCGCTTTCAGTTCAGTTTAATATGGGTTGGATGAAATACTACCACACTCAAACCAAGTTACACATGCTCTGGTTTCGGTTAGTTTGGTACGGTTCGATTCGGTAGCGCCAAAATCAGTTAATTTTGCTTAAATTTATGAAGTTCTAGCTGAAGTATTGGATTGACTGATTCTACTGATTTATGGAAAACAAATAAAGTATAGTTTACTAATAAAATAAAGAAAAAGTTATATGAGAAAATAACTAAAATGGTCTTCTACAATAACTTCAGTCAATACAGTCAGAAAATAACTCCAACCTCACTTTTTTTATCATTACACAACTTAATGCGCGAAATTAAAGGTTGCGTGCTTAGTAAAAAGTTGGTTGATAGACCCGATAAGTCGAAAACAGGATCACTAAATGGGTTCTAAATACACACGACAAAATTGTAAATTGAACTGTAATCACACCTGACAGATAGCGAGTCGGGTCATATACATTTTTACATATTAATCTCTAATCGCAATATGTAGCGGGGCCGGTGGCAGGGCACTGGGCCGCACTAAGAATGTTTTTACTTGGACTGTAATATGTCCCAGACCAAGCTAGACTAGACCATACCAGATCAATTCGGACCAGACTAGACTTGGATAGTTATAAAAGTACAAAGAGACCAGACATTACTAGACCAGACCAGATTACACTAAAGATATAAACATTTTTAAAATTTGAGTTAGGATGTTTACATTTGGACTGTAATTTGCTAGTCTGTTCTGGTCTGGTAATATCTGATTTCTTTGTATTTTTATAACTATCCAAGTCTGGTTAGGTTTGATCTGGAACAGGTTACACTTAAAAACATCCTAAGACCATAACTACACTCCACCATTACCACTATTCCAACCCAAGATTTTAGTCATCGTGACACTTTATCTACGAGTACAGTAAATGCACACTAGACAAAGGAAGGAATGCTTCTTAAACGCTACTCTGCTGTGTATATCATATGACCAATAAAAGCATTCAATCCTGTTTTTTCACTGCACAAAATCAATACTTGTCGCTTTTCTGGTACGTGCCCTTAACTCCGCCCTTTGGTAAAGGACTGCTTCAATTCAAACACGGCCCATTTGCCTATATGTTGCATCGGTATCTGCATAGAACCATAATAATTTAGATGTTTTCGCCCGAGGAAAAATTCTAAAAAAGTTGATTTGAGAGTATTTGACTTGCATGAAAGATTATTGAATTTATTGTAACAATTTACAAGAGGAAACATCTAAGGCTGGGCGGGGGTTCGATCATGTGAAAATGGTTGCCCAAGCAATTCCAGCATGTTGTATGTGTTCCGCCTTCTGCTCATGACCATATCATAGGAAGATCTTGAAAAAAATGATGAGCTCATTCTACCAGCCGAGAGAGAGGAATGAAATCAATTGTCTAGGCTAGGATAAGTTGTTATTGAGAAAGGAAAATGGGTTTTGGCCTTTTGGGGTTTTCGGTTTCAGCCACTTTCAAAGTTATGAGCTGCAGGTGGCATATGAGACTTAAACTGGACTTAGACCGGTTATTGGAAAATTGATGTATAATATGTAGTACTCCCTCCGTTCCACTAAAAATGCGACAATTCATCAGTTTACGATATTTGACCGTCGATAAAGTATACAAATCTTGTCCGCACTCAAATTATTTTTGGGGAAAAAATTACATATTCAGAAACTTCATTAAAAATTTTACAAAGTCGCAAAAACCAGAATCAAATTTGATAAAAATTTGATATATAAGTAAGAGATTAAGAGTTGTGTGTGTTGACCAAATGAATAGGAACTGAGACAATCTTAGTGGGACGAATGAAGTAATAGACTAAGGTTTTAATTTAATATACATTGTTGAGTAAATATATTAAATGGTGCTTATTATTGTTGTAGTAGTACGACTTGTATGATAACAAAAGTATCTACATATAGGCCCATCATGTTAGTGAATGGTTGTATTCTTTTGGAATTTTTCATTTCTATATCTCATTTTTTATTTTTCATTTCGGTAACATCAGGATCACGGATGTAGCAATGGGTCCAGTTTTAGCCAACAAATTATTTGGCTATGCCCAACTTCAGATAATATTTATAATTACTAAATAAGTGTTTTTCTTAAAAATGTAAGTTTGTATTTACATTATCAATACAATGATTTTGAAAATATAATGTTTTCATATTTAAAGATTCATGACAGTTAGATGTGAAGAAAAACAGAATTCACGGGGTGAAGAAAAAATTACATGGATAAAAAAGTGAAAACGAATGAAGGCTTGGGATTCATTGTGATCCCCAACACTAACCGAACAGTTAGATGGGAGAATATAAGTTAGACTTTAATCACAAACTAGTAGATGGAGAATGAGACTCTGGCCCTAGTACTTGCAAAGACACTATGCATTTTTAACCCAGTAACCTCTCATCACAATTGCCGGGATTAGAACTCAATACTAAAACCCTTGTGACATTCAAAAACTGGAAAGGGTGTGCTTTTGCACTATGGTAAAATGTTTGTCACTTAACCACACCAGATATAAAAGTCAAAAGCATACCACGAGACTACGCACCTAATTCAACAACCGAATCTTGACTATGAAGAAGGGACCAACTGCTCCTTTTTTACCTAATAATAAGAGCAATTTCTATAATAATAATACGGAGTAATAACATACGGAGTATTATAATAATATATTATAATAACGATCAATATCCCCTAAACGGCTAAACACAGAACAAAGCACCGAGTTTGCTTTGGAAACTTTGGGACTTTCACACACACAACAGTCTTTCAGATCTGAGAAAAGGAAAAGACGAAAGAAAAGAGAACAGATCTCAAGGCATTTCCTCTTCATCTGGGAACTCAGCAACATCCTGCAAGTTGTTCTCCATGAAGTTGCTGTTCTTCAACTGGTTTCTTGCAAAGCTTTTTGAATTTTCAAATGGGCTTCTCACGGATCTCTCTGTGTTGAGGTCGTAATAGTATTTCCCGTTTTCCAAAAATCTCGTGTCACTCATCCCCTGCTGCTGAACCCAGTTTGCACCAGTGCCGGAGAAGGGTTCTTCTTCCTGCTGGTTGCGAAACTCACTCTCGGTGAATTTCTCTTCGGGCACGCTTGATTCTAGGTTGTCGAGGTAGTTGTTAGTGTTGCCGCCGCCGGCAGATGTGGTGGTGGACTCCTGGTAGTTATCGGCGGCGCTGGCCGGAGTGAACTCCTTGTCGTCGAACAACGTGCCATCTGGCATGCTTGACTCTTTTCGGCCGGTGGGTTCAGTGGGGGTGAGGTCCTTGCTCAATAAATTTGCGTCTTCGATGTGAAAGTTCGATTCTTTGTCTCCTGTGTTCTGGCTGTTACCGGCGGCGGCTGCGGCGGTGGGGTCATAAGTGCGGTCTTCGGCGACGGTAATGTAGGCAACAGGGTTGTAGTTCTTGGGAAGATATTTCTTGTTCGGAATGTCAGCCGAGATTTGGGTTGGGGTGGTGTGGGTTTGCTGGCGGTTGAAGGTGGTGGCGGAAGGAGGAAGCTGGCCGGCCTCATGACTGAAAAGGCCATAACTGTTTTCATTCTCTACGGCGAAAGTTGGTTCCTGCTTTTGTGGAACAGCAGTTGCCTGCTGGGCTTCGCTGTTGACAGCATTGCTGCTGGAGACTTTGTTGAAGAAATGGCTTTCTCTGGCATTAATTTGGAAAGAGGATGATAAGAGGGCGATGAGGAAGAAGATAAAAACTTGCTTGGCCATAGATGCAAGTGGAAAGGGGAGTCAGAGAGAGAAAGAGAGCGTCTTCGTTGTGTACTGCACTAGTGACTTTCTATCTTATATAGACCCACTCTTTTGAAAATTCTAACCCTCTTTTGAAGTCTTTAATTAACTCTAATTTATGTTATTAAATAGTCATAGTACTACGCCGTAAGATTACTCTAATTTGATGTTATTAAATTAAATAGATAGTACTACGCCGTAAGATTAGATCAGCTTGATAACACCCAAAGTCCCAAATAGAATCTAGCAGATAATTTTGTTGAAATTTATGAAGTTCTGCCGGTTCGATTGGCTAACTCCGCTTGTTTATGAAAAAATATTTAAAATATGTTTTATTTATATTATAAAGAAAAAACTTTATGAAAAATTAGTTAAAATGATCATCTAAAATGACTTCAGCCAATACAGACAAAAAAGTAAGTTCAACCTAGGAGTGCAGCAGGTCGGAGGCCCTAACCCCCAAAAAAATGTTAAAAAATTAGGTCGATTCTTAAAACTCTGCATTGAAACTTGAGAGCGAGTAGGTTGAACTTTTGGGTTGTGTTTACTAATTTCATGAGGCCCAAGAAAAAGAGTTATGAAGGCGTAAACCATTTTAAATAAAAGACGGGATTGTCCACTAGGTTGGTACGTATTACTGAAACGCCATTTAGGCTCTCACTCTTTCAAAGTTCAAACTTCAATATTGTAATTCCTCATCATAAACTTTCATTAGACAATATACAATACATAGTGGATACATCAAATTTATGAGCCTTTAATTTGTTTGTGAATGTTTCTGGGGTCTTCTTTGTTCATGAATGTTGGTACCCATGGGGTATATGAGAATATACTCCATCATGAGTCCTTCACTCTCTAAGACAATAGCTACACTTGAGGTGATAGAGAGTGATTCTTTGACTTCTGGGTTGGTGCGCCAGGTGGGGGCACTTCTCTCCTTGGTCACAACAAATGGGCGTCTCATTAAATACTCCACCATGGAAAATGTTGTAAAATGTGTTAAAAATAGCATTAAATGGTCAATTTGGGGCAATATTTTGAGTGAGATCCACTTCCGATTTGGGTCGGGTCAAAAGAGATAACGGGTGAATGAGAAATTGATTATCGAAGTTCACTCGTTGAAGCAGAAAAAAATGGGGAAAAGATGACTTTCTAGTGTGTTATTTTCCACACCGGAAAACCAAAGGGATTTTCACCCCCTTATTAGGGGAACCCTCTTTGAAGGAGTTAATATTCTAAGGTGGAAAAACTCTCTTCGCGCGCATGAGGGTGCCGATCAAATCTCGAAAATGGAGAATAAAAACCGCGACTTGCGGACACGAATGTCGTCCGAAAAAACCGATCTTTCAAATATACGATTTAATTTTTGTTTCTTCCCGTGATGCTTTTTTTCGCATCTGATTGCTCGGACCAGAAGCATCAGAAGGCTTCTTATCAGAATCAGAAGGCTTCGGATAGACTCTTCTGAATGGCTTCTGAAACGTTACGAGTAATAAATGCCCAACATTCTTGTACATTAATGCACCTTTAATCGGACAGTTTTTTGGACGAATTGATGGCCTACGATCTGGTCATTAATCTCCAACGTTCAGGTCCATTAACACACTCTTCACTCAACAAATCTTTCCCTATAAATACCCGGCAGCTGTGGTCGAAATCAACTTTTTACAAAATGAAAACGATGGATCGTTTTTAGACAATCTCCGAGTCGAATATTTCATATGTAGTTTAGATAAATAGACACTCGTAGCAATAAAGAAGATTGTCTTTGCTCTGTTTCTGAGTCATGACACAAAAGTAATGAGTTAATTAAACGCTATTTTTAAAATTTGGGAGAACAAGTCAATATTACGCATCAAATTTTGCTGATTTTTCGTTTAGATAGTGCTGATTTTGCAGAAGTCATAACTTTTTACTCGTAATGAATTACGAGGGTCATAATGTATCAAGTTGAAGATATTTCAGAGCTCTATATTTTCGAACTTTCAGCGAGGTTGACTGACCACCCTGACCCCTGGTTCCGCCCCTACCTGACAGGTGCTTTGCAACAACATATGCAATCATACACGAACTGCACGTTTTCTTTAGCTCAAAAACACCTCCGTCTATCTCTTAAATAATTCCTTTGGGTTCTTGCTAGTTCACGTTCGCTGGAACAATTCGTTTGAGTGCTCAACGATTGTTCGTAGTTATCATATCATGGGAAACGGTTGTTGAAACGCTCCTAGCACCTAGGGAGGCAACAAATACGTTTTAAGGAAAAATTCCGCTCCTTGCACAAGCTTTGGCTAAATTCCGCTCCATCGTTTTTCTGGGTTTTCTTTAGCTATTTTAGATAATTAATTTTATTAGTTAATTTTCTTTGTTTTTCAAGACACACCCAACAGAAAAAATCCCGTGGCAAAACCTCCTAACGGGGGAACCCGAGTACACTCCGCTTTGAGGTGGCTTCCGGAGAAGAAGGCGACGCCACGCTGCAAGGAGACGAGCTCGAGCTTCGTGTTTTCTAATCAACCGTGAGTTGGTATCTTGTTCATGCAAGTTAGTTGCTACATCCACGGCCTCGACTGAGGGTTGATACAAAATTTTCAAAATCTAAAGTAAAATTGACAAGCTCAGTATGAGTTATACTTGATTGGTATGCTTACCGAGGTAGTTGTTGTAATATGAGTTATGAAAGACAAAAAAAATAAAATATACGTAGTATTTTGTTAATAAAATAAAGAAAAAATTATATGAAAAACCAGCTAAAATGATCTTCTACAGTAAATTCAATGAATATAGTCAGAAAAGTAACTACAACCTTACTTTTTTTATTATTATATAATTCAGCACTAGAAATCAAAAGTTATGTCTTTGGTGAAAAGGTTGACTAATAAGTGTGATAAATTGAAAATGCGGTCACCAAATGGGCTCTAAATTCAAACTGATTAGATTAGACCAAATGAAATGGGCTTAAATAGATCAAAACAAATCTGAAATTTACAATCCAATTAAGTATGAGAATATTACCCGAAATATGAGTAAAAAAGTTTAAAAATTCCAAATTAGGATTGTCACGTTTTTATTCCCAAAATAGGACTAATTACTGTCATGTTTTGCCAGTACCAGACTTCAAACATGGCAGTATTTTCCAAACTTGGCAGTAATTACTCTTATTTTGGGAATAAAAATATGGCAGTCCCATTTTGGAATTTTCAATCATTTTTAGTCCTATTTCGGGAATTTTCCCATTAAGTATTCCAAGCCATTCCAACCATTTGTAAAGAAAAGGTTATGGGTATGTTTGGCACAACTAGTTGAAAAGATACTTTTATGAGATTTTTAGTAACTGTTAGCTTTTAGTGACTGAAAAGATCTTAAAAATAAAAGGTAGTAGCTCAACAGTGGCGTATCCAGGAAATTTGGCGAGTGGGGGCAAATGTGCACTACAATTTAGTCTCATATTTCATAAATAGCAAACAACATATTTAATATTGTTTGATTAAATTTAGTTTAATACATATATGTACAAGTATGAGTAAAAAGAAGATTAATTTATATTACGGTGTGTAAAGATGCAATTACGGATAAAGTTTGAGAAAAATTACCTAAATATAAGCTACACATAACAAAATTTTAGTGATTTTTTAGCCTTTCATTCTTTTAAGGGAAAATAATTTAAATATACCCCAAAATTTATATAAAAGTTATTTTAGCATCATGGTCATGTATTATTTGTTTCAAAAATGTTAATTTTGGTGTTGATTTTATGATTAAAAATATTTTAGCATTCACGAATATACAATTACTTTCTAAACTTTCATTGTACAATAAATAGTATTATCCTTCACTCTATATAATTGCAACGTTTTTAGTTTGCTATTTTAAGTTATGCAATTAACATCACAAATTTTTAAATAATGCATGCCCATGGTGTTAAAATTATTTTTTATTTAAAGTTTGGGGTATTTAAATTACATATGAAAGTTTGGGGTGTTTATCTCGCACATCTTAAAAGTTTGGGGTATTTTAATTATTTTTCCCTTCTTTTAATATGAAAGAAAACACTCTTAATCCTATTTAGATTTTTTTCCTACATTTAACTCTTATTTTGAGCAATATCTTATAAAAATTTAGATATATATATATATATAGGGGTTGGGTTGGGGTTGAGTGGGGGCAGCTGCCCCCGCTGCCCCCATAGTGGATACGCCACTAAGTATCTGTTTGGTGAAAAGATGACTGTTTAATTCAGTTATATTTGGTATACAAGCTGTTAGGACTAATTAATACTAAAAGTCACCGGCTTTTTTCAGATGTTACTCCATATAACATCTCAAAAAAGATCTTTAACTTTCCAAAAAGCTCTTAAAAATTGTCATGTCAAGCATACAATTAGAAGTTTATAGGGATTTTTTAAACAGTACAAAAGTTAGAAGGCAAAGACTTATATCTGCCAAACATGCAATATATAATACGGAGTAGCTTTTTATAATAGTTCACCATCATGGAAAACGTATAAGAATGGCGGAAGTTGGCTTTGAAAAAGGTTAATGAATTAATATACCATGACCTCCTAAATAGGAGTAAGTCTTCCTATCGTACCATTTCCGTGCCATGTTTTAGTAGGAGTTTTTAATAATTTGAAACATAAAAAGTAAAATTAAAAAATAAAAAATAGAAAAATGGAAAAAAAAAATAGGCTTTAGCCGCCACCTTATCCATCTTCCAACATCGACACCTCTAGTCGCTGGAAACAAATGCCAACCTGCAAAAATATGTCATCTTGATGACACTTTTGAAAGAAAATTTTGATCTTTTAAAGAGTAAAAAATTTATTTTCATGACATTTTATAGAAAGGTAACATGCAATTCTACATAATGCCTTAATGGCGTTAATGCATATGACACGACCGACAAGCTTAGGGTTACAGAAGCCAACCCTTTAGATATATAATACCTAAAGGTTGGGCTTCCTTATTACATCAGGCAAACGGGCCCGAATACAAAGTTGGACCGGATTAATAACTAATCTATTAAATTCACACATATAAAGATAACTAAT